GTCTGTTCTTAAGGTATTTCTCTATTTATCGTGTCAGGAGCAAACCAAACAGTTGTATTGCATTTTTAACAAACAAACAAACAAACAAAACAAAGTTTGCGAACTTGGTTGTTGATTAAATGTCCTTTGACCAGTATCTGGCCACTTGGAGTGCCTCTGGTGTTACTATAAGAAGGTCCTCCATTGTGCATGTAGCAGGGCTCAGGTTGCATTGCAGCAGGTGGTCTGTAGTTTGCTCTTCTCGCATGTTGTGGATTCCACTTTGTTCTTAAGGTGAAAACTTGAGACATGAGAGAAGCCTCCCCACAGGATAGTTACACATCCGGGCGTCCCCTGGCTGATTCTCTCACATCAGAAGTGACTTGCAGTATGCAAACAAACAAACAAATGGTAACTGGAAGTGACGTTGTGTTACTTCTTGTCATCTTAGAGTTCGAACCAAACACCTCTAAGGGTGCATCTATGCTGCAGAATTAATGCATTTTGAAATCAGTTTCACTAACATGGCTCAATGCGACAGAATCCTGGGAGTTTAATGAGGCAGCAGTACTCTTTGGAAGAGAACTTGCAAAACTACAACTCCCAGAATTATATAACCTTGAGCAATAGCTTTGGAAACATTAATTCTACAGTGTAGATTTACCTTAGAGAGCCACCAGTATTATGAAGCAAGGAAGATGTTTTCCACATTATCAATTATATAGGCCACTGATAGGCTGGCATGGCTGCTTCCCTTTCTGTAAAGACTCTCTTCCAGTCTTTGCAAAAGCCTTTGGGCCTAAGCAAGGCGCTTATTAGTACCATCTCAGAATGCACAGAGAGCCTTCCCAACTTTCCCTGAAAGCAAAATACCATATTTGGCCAATCTGAGCCATAGCTGAGCAGGATCCTGCCAAGAGACAGAGCGGACCGTTAAAGAAAAAGAAAAGAAAGGAAGGTTTAACCCTTCCTTTATAAATAAAATGATAAATCACTAGGAGAACGTTTAAACATAGAGCTTTAGCGGAATTACACCAATACACACTCTCTGTGTATGTATATGATCTCCGGAGTGCAGGAGGGAAAGAGGAATAACAAGAGTCACCCAGTCTGCTCCGAATCTGGACGAGGGGATGTGGACAGCCAAAACGTCAGCGCAGGCAGGTTTTTTGGATTTATAATCCTGTTGGTGAATCCTCCTTTCAATTTTTTCTGAAAAGACAATATCAGTTTTATCTCATTGTCTCTGCTTCCTCAGATATCCCTAAATCAGTGGTTCTCAACCTTCCTAATGCCGCGACCCCTTAAAACAGTTCCTCATGTTGTGGTCACCCCCAAACATAATATCATTTTTGTTGCTACTTAAATTAATAACTGTAATTTTGTTCCTGTTATGAATATAATGTAAATATCTGAGATGCAGGATGTATTTTCATTCACTGGACCAAATTTGGCACAAATACCTAATACGCCCAAATTTGAATACTGGAGGAGTTTGGGTGGTAGGAGGTTGATTTTGTCATTTGGGAGTTGTAGTTGCTGGGATTTATAGTTCAACTACAATCAAAGAGCATTCTGAAGTCCACCACCGATGGAATTGAACTAGACGGCACACAGAACTCCCATGACGAACAGAAAATACTGGAAGGGTTTGATGGGCACTGACCTTGGGTTTTGGAGTTGTAGTTCATCTACATCCAGACAGCACTGTAGACTCAAACAATGATGGATCTGGACCAAACTTGGCAGGAATACTCAATATGCCCAAATGTGAGCACTGGTGGAGTTTGGGGAAAATACATCTTGACATTTGGGAGTCGTAGTTGCTGGGATTTATAGTTCGTCTTCAATCAGAGCATTCTGCACCCACCAATGACAGAATTAGGCCAAACTTCCCACTGTATTTGTATTTTCTGATGGTCTTTGGCAACCCCTCTGACACTCCCCTCATGCATTTCTCTTACCCCCAGGTTGAAAAATGCTGCCTTAAATATAGTAACAGAGATTTTAGCCATAGTAGCAATCCACTGGGACTGCTGAAATCCTACAATCCGGCTACAAATGACACATGTGTCTGTTTGGTGTCTGATCCACAGATTTGAACATCTCTTGGAAAAGATCCAAGTTTGGGGAAAAATTAAATATGGAACCTGGAAAGTTAATTTTTGGGGTCATAACCCCCCCCCCACCACCACCCTCAATTTAATTTTTCCCAAGCTTGGACATCCCAGAAAAGATCCAAGTTTGGGGGGAAATTAATATGGAATCTGGAAAATTACTTTTTGGAAACTTGAGTCATAACCCCGCAAATTTAATTTTTCCCAAGCTTGGATAATGAAAGCAAGAAACCGCTCTAATGTCACTCCTCCGTTCATCCCAATTTCCAACTATGAGAAGGTTATAGTTTTGCTTTACATCTCTCAGAATCCCCAACCATGGGGGTTCTGGGATCTGTAGTCCAAAAGCAAGTTCCCCAAGCCCTGCTCACTTTTGTGCAATTGGAGATTGATTTCCAGTTGTATTCATCCGTTATCCTAGAGCGCTCCCTCGAGTCTTTTGAATGGGACAAGCGAGCGGCTGAGTCTTTATACCTTATACAGGCAAAGCATTTGATTCCTTACAAAAGGAAAAAAAAGGAGAGAAGTATGATTCACTCACGGATGCACTTTTGATAAGAATCAGTAATTTCATTTACGTGGCGATAAACCCCTTATACCAAAGGGCGGTGGCATTATTATTATTTCATCACACATCTGGGATTAATCAGAGGAGGGAAACTGAAGCTGTTTTTCATTAAAAAGGGGATCCATCTTAAGCTGCAGTCCTAAGAGGAATGGCCGGGATGAAAGTCCCATTCTGTTCAGTGCAAGTTAATCTTCGGCAGACATAAATCAGAAACTGCACAGTTAAAGAGTCATAAAACTCTACTCTGTTTGCTTTGGTTCTGTTTTTAATGGCTAGTGTCCTCTTGGCGTCTCTTTGTGGTGTGCCTTCAAGTAGTTGCCAATTTATAGCAAGCCTACTACAGGGTTTTCTTGGCAAGATTTGGTCAGAAGGGATTGTTTTTCGTCTTCCTCTGAGGCTAAGGGAATGGGACTGACCAATGGCTTTCCATGGCTGAGCTGGGGTTTGAACCCTGGTCTCCAGAGCCATTGTTCAATGTATTGTTGAATGTTTTCATGGCTGGAATCACTGGGTTGTTGTAGGTTTTTCAGGCTATATGGCCATGTTCTAGAAGCATTCTCTCCTGACGTTTCACCTGCATCTATGGCAGGATCTTGAGAGATTGTGCATCCTCAACCTCAACCTCTGAGGATGCCTGCCATATATGCAGGTGAAACGTAAGGAGAGAATGCTTCTAGAACATGGCCATATAGCCTGAAAAAACTACAACAACTCAATGTCCAATGTTCAAACCACTACATCATGGTAGCACATAGTTGCTTGAACTGTCTTTTTGTTGTTGTTTTAGCTTGCCAAAGTGAAGGGTCTATAGTATTCCAAAAAATGTGAAACCATACCATACTTGGCATACATATGAAAGTGATCGTTGGTGTGCTCATTATTTTATTTTTATTTCTTTCCCAATAGTTGACCCACTGGGCTCCCGATCTTTCTCAAGCAAGAGAAACAAAGCTGGAGCAGGATTTAGGAGATTCATTTCTTAACAATGTCTGTGGTCAATTACGTGTGCTGTTTGGGTTTTTCTCCTAAGCAACGAAATCGTCCTTCCCTTTAATATCTCCCCAGAATGGTGAATATTAAAGGGACTACAGTTCTGAATATTAAAAGGGTTACAATTCTGAAGACCTGCCATGAAAATCCACTCACAGCCCCAGGAAACCATATGATAGGTTCACTTTAGAGCAATTGTCCCCAACCTGTGGGCCACGAGACCTAAAATAAGGTCAATGGCTCTAGATTATTAGCTATGGTTTTCTGTGGGCAAGCAGATGGCAACTACTGGATGGCATATGTTCTGTATCAGAAACCAGAGCTGATGTGCTCTATCTAATGCAGATGGCGACTACTTGATGGTGTAACTTCTGTATCAAATACTAGAACTCATGTGGTTTACCCAATGCAATTTTCTTAATCAGCACCCCAAATAACCAAACCAAATCTAAAGTTGACCAAAAACTGATTTGTAACCCTTTTGAAACTAATGTTGGAGAGTGGTTGCTGGTCAAGTGGTCCCTCGTCAAAGTGGTCCCTTTGGTGCAATTAGTCCCTGGTCAAAGTGGTCCTTAGTTAAGTGGTCCCTGGTCAAAGTGGTCCTGGTCAAGTGGTCCCTGGTCAAGTAGTACTTGGTGAAGTGGTCCCTGGTCAAAGTGGTCCCTGGTGAAATTAGTCCCTGGTCAAAGTGGTCCCTGGTCAAGTAGTCCATGGTGAAGAGGTCCTTGGCTAAGTGGTCCCTGGTCAAAGTGGTCCCAGGTCAAAAAAAGGTTGGGAACCACTACTTTAGAGTCACCACAAGTTTGAAGCAACTTGAAGGCACACAACAATAACCACATCCTTATCAAAAATCACTCCCCAGAATCCATTGTTCATTGAAGCAAACTGCAGTGTTTCATGTGGATTTCTACTCCAGATCAGAAGCAAAGACATGCACATGAAATGCATGTGAAAGGATACCAAATGTTTTTGTTATTATTAATAATAATAATAATAATACCACACCCTATCTCCCAGAGGGACAAATATGTACATACCACACTGTAGAATGAACCAGATATCAGATGGAACTAAGTTTAAGCCAGGAGGCATATTAAATCAGCCCTTCGACCATGAGTGTCTTGATGCTAGGAACTCTGAGTATGTGCAAAGTATCATTTATGTCATGACTGACTATCATTCTGGACCTATTTGGAAATAAGGACAATGGCACACAGGCGTTCAGTGCCATCATCATTGTCAGTGTTCAAAAATTAAAGTTAGGCTTAAAGCAAATCACAAGGATTTGTATTGTGTCACTCTGTTGTGGAATGCATTAAATCTGATTCTTTGCTTTTATTTCCTAGATGCCTGCAAAGCTTCTGACCATGGAGCCCTCTCCAAATTCCACTCCGTCACCCAATATCACGGATCTGTTCCACAAATTTGTTCACCTGGACGGAGAGCTGGCAGAGACATTTTATACTCTGTGGATAGCCCTGGTGGTGGTCAATGCCATCATTTTCCTGGTAGGAGTGGTGTTAAACTCTTTGGCTCTCTATATCTTTTGCTTCCGCACTAAGACAAAGACCACCTCGGTCATCTACACGATCAACCTGATTGTTACAGACTTGCTGGTGGGCTTCTCCTTGCCCATCCGGATCATCATGCACTACAGTGCTCCAGACTGTAAGAACTGTGCCCTCATCCACATCTTCACCTACTTTGTCAACATGTACTGCAGCATCCTTTTCCTTACCTGCATCTGCATTGACCGCTACCTGGCCATTGTCCAGGTGGAAGCTTCCCGCAAGTGGAGGAACCCCGACTATGCCAAGGGCATCTGCGCCTTCATCTGGGTCTTTGCCACAGTGGTCACCTTCTCCATCCTCACCATGGCCATGAAGTTCTCCCACTGCTGCATTGCCCAGATCTTGCCCCTGATGGTCTGCGAGTATGTCTTCCCCCTCATCATCATCACCTTCTTCACCACGAGGATCATGTGCGCTCTCTCCAAGCCAACCTTGATGCACCAGAGTCGGGAGAGGCGGATGAGAGCCGTGCAACTTCTGATCACGGTCCTCATCATCTTCATGATTTGCTTCACTCCGTTCCATGTGCGCCAGTTGGCTATCTCCATTAACCCGGGCATGTCCAACAACATCAGCTTAGTTGCCTATCACGTCACTGTCGCATTGAGCAGCCTCAACAGCTGCATGGACCCCATTGTCTACTGCTTTGTCACCAACAACTTCCAGTCCACCATGAAAAATATCTTCAGGAAGTCTGAGCCTGAACAGACCAGTGGAGACATCATCAGCATCAACAAGAACTCAGGTTCGAATGCCATCATAGCATTCACAAATGTGATCGGGAACCCATTGGCCTTGCCTTCCCCTAATAGTACAGCAAGCTCATAGGAGAAGGGAGAGTTCAGTGTACGTTCCTCATAAATGTACATTGTTGTCAAGCTATGTGATGCTATCCTCTTTCATAAGAGTATTTTAGAACATCATGTCAAACTTCAGAGTTCTTTGGGTTCTTCCATGACACCATCCATATATACATGGCAGCTGGATTTGTCAGGTGGGAAATGATGTCATGATGTTTCCTCTTCCAGAATTGTGCCTCAGGATGTATTCTGCATTTCAAGGAATGGTAGAGGAAAGAATAGACACAGCTACGTCTTTTGACAGTTCTACCTACATCGCCGTGATCTTTTGGAGAGCAAGAAGCAAAGAAGAAGCGTGTTCAGAGGTTGATATTACTAAAGACTGCTCAGATCTCCAAATGCCGACACTGTGGACTCTGACGAGCAGGACAGAAGGGAATGCAACAAAAACTTTGTATTGCAAATGGCAAATGATAGGAGAGAATTACAACCATGGTGATTTGGGGACATCTTGCCTGGCCCAAATCTAATATCAAAATCACAAGGTTAATAAACAACAGAACTAAACTTTGCTCAGCTTCACTTGCAGTTTCTCAAATCGCTCCTGACATGAAAAAAGCTTCACTTTAGAAATACTGTGATAGAGAAAGACATTTCTTAAGAATGCTATGGTTTATTATAAAGACGAACCCAGGATGATCTGGGGGGAGCAATCTCTTACACACGGCCAAATGGAATAAAATCCAGTATCCCAGTTCTGCACTATAAGTGTGCCATAATTGTGGGAAGGGTTGGTTTCAAGGGATGTGAGTGGGGTTCAAGGGATATAGTAACTTACCTAGTTAAGCTAAGGAGTGGAGAACATGCCCAGCAGAAGTGGAAATTGGAGGATGTTAAGTATATCCAAGTTCTTTCACAACCAGAAATATACAGAGGAGAAAACAGAGTTCATTTTTCAGCAAGGAATCAAAGCCACTGGGTTTTTTTGACCTGTGGTCATGTGTACAATATACATTGGTCATAAACTCACTGTACCAATTGGATAACATACATATTTTCTTTCTTTGGAATAGAGGTCTTCTATTACCAACCAGAGCTTAAAGCTTGTGATTTCTTACTGTGCCGTCAGTGGAACTAGGATCTCAAAGAGTTCAAGCCCTAGGGGTTTTTCATTAGCAGGGACTGGGGGTGCATCTACACATTAGAATCAATGCAGTTTGATTCCACTTTAACTACCATAACTCAATACTATGGAATCATGGGTGTTGTACAGTACTTTTACAAAGTCTGTCTTCTCCTCCAAAAAATACTGGTGGCTCACCAAGCTACAACTCCTAGCATTGTATAGCATTGAGACATGGTAGTAAAAGTGGTATCAAACTTCATTAATTCTAGAGTGTAGAGTGCACTTTATTATATAATCCTCTGTCCTGCTTGGACTCTGTTGTTGTCGTTAGGTGCCTTCAATACATTTTGGACTTATGGCGAGCCTAAGGTGAATCCGCCACAGTGCTTTCTAGGGCTGAAAGCATTCACTTGCCCAGGGTCCTCTAACTTATAAAATACTCGTTCCAGGTGGAACTGACAACTGCTAATTTGACAGATCTGTATGCATTTTGGAACAACTGTCAGGAGGATGTTCTGTAGTTCAAAATTTATGACTGTTACACTGTCTGAAGTTAAGTACTTACTTACTTACTTAAGTGATCCCTCGTAGCTTGAGGATGATGGTCCTCCAAGTGTAGTGTCTTGGCAGTTGATCCGTAAGTGGATCTGGAGCCCTACTCTTGATCCACATGTTCTCCCACAGTGAGGACATTAGTTTCCAGGTGGAAGGCAGTCCTGGTCAGGGTTGGCTTGATGCACCTTCATCTTGGCACATTTCTCCCTTTCACCCTCCATTTGTGCCTCTTTAAATTTTGCAGTACTGCTGGTCACAGCTGACCTCCAGTCAGAGCATTCAAGGGCCAGGGCTTCCAAGTCTATGAACTTAAATACAACTCCATCCTCAATATTTAGCTGAGAGGAAGAGCAGCAGTTTAGCCTATTACAATGGACCATGCTGACTCTTCACAGGCAAATTAACCCTATGCAAATCCATAGGATTTGGGGAGGCCTCATCTTGAATTGACAATTCAGACTCCTTAGTCTTACAAAAAGACCTGGTGCTGATGGAGATAAAACCTGCTTTCTTGGGGCTTTTTTACAAAGCTGTTCTTTGGGCTCCCCATAAGAATTGTCATGACTGGTTATGTTCAACGATCACTATGTGAAGAACAGAGTAAATCTGGTTTTACTTCAGACCTTGCCACTGTTTTCTAAATTTTTTGAAGATGCTTTGCTCAGTTTTTAATCTGATCATGTGGATCTGGAGGGCATTGTTTTGAAATGTTGGTCATTGCCACTCAGCAGGCCCCTTGGTGACAGAGAAGTAATTTGTGGAATATTTTCATAAATCAATAAAATCTTCAATAAATAAAGAAGTGATGGAGAGCAACAGGCATCTTACACCGGGTTGACTTCCCTTGCAGATGCGACTGGATGCTTTGTGTCTGTTGTGGGAGTGACACGTTCAATCCAAGGCCAAGAAAATGGCATTGCACATTTCCTGGACACATGCGTGATTGGAGGAATATTTACAATGCATTCCATTTTCATTCAGTGTCATGGTTCAGTTGCACAATGTTGCCATTCAAGATAAGGGTTGTGTCAGATCTTCATTATTGGTATGGATCCCCGAAGTTTTCCAAGCAATGTGGTTGGGCATTTTCATTGCTGTGTTCAGTTCAAGATTTCGGAAATAGATTGGCACATGTAGAATGAAAACATACTTGTATGCACAATGACATTTAGTGTTGGATTTAGTTGCGTGTTTGGGTGTGTATTCACTTGAACAACACTGTCACTCAATGCAAGGGTTGTGTAGCATTCACTTGCACAACACTGCCATTCAATACAAGGGCTGTATAGCATTCACTTGCACAACACTGCCACTCAGTGCAAAGTTGTATATCATTCACTTCCCCAACACTGCTACTCAATGCAAGGGTTGTATAGCATTCACTTGCACAACACTGCCATTCAATCAAAGGCTTGTACAGCATTCACTTGCACAACACTGCCACTCAGTACAAGGTTGTATATCATTCACTTCCCCAACACTGTTACTCAATGCAAGGGTTGTGTAGCATTCACTAGCCCAACACTGCCATTCATTACAAGAGTTGTATAGCATTCACTTGCACAACACTGTCACTCAATGCAAGGGTTGTGTAACATTCACTTGCACAACACTGCCATTCAATACAAGGGCTGTATAGCATTCACTTGCACAACACTGCCACTCAGTGCAAGGTTGTATATCATTCACTTCCCCAACACTGCTACTTAATGCAAGGGTTGTGTAGCATTCACTTGCCCAGTACTGCTACTCAATGCAAGGGTTGTGTAGCATTCACTTGCACAACACTGCAATTCAATACAAGACTTGTATAGCATTCGCTTGCACAACACTGCCATTCAATACAAGACTTGTACAGCATTCACTTGCAGAACACTGCCACTCAGTGCAAGGGTTGTGTAGCATTCGCTTGCACAACACTGCTATTCAGTACAAGGGTTGTGTAGCACCAACCGTACACAAGTCCACTTGCAGATATTACCCAGCTCTATTGTAGGATTCTGTCAAAATCATCCAGTTAATACTCTTGCCAAAGGTGTGTTCTGTCAAAAACGGAACATCAAGGATAAGTCAGACGTACGATGCCTTTAGTAATGGTTCCCAAAAGGGAAATGTCTCCTCCTGTTAAGCTGCATATGAAAACATTCCAGCTGCCAAGGACTGGGAAGGGAGAGGGGTGTCTGTCCATCATCTGTCAGAGTGTTCGACAGAAGGAATGCAGCGGTAAATATTTGCCATCAGTGTTTGTATTAGCCTCCATTAATAGCAGGAACTTAAACAACTGTCAGCCTCCGCAGACCTCCTGCTTCCCTCATTGTCTTGACCCTATTAGGCCAGCTTGGCTTCAGACCAGTGGAAAACGGAATATATTGGAGGTTTAAATAGGAAAGCCACCCAAAATGGAAAAAATGTGATCCCTTGCAAGCTGGATTCTGACCCTTTGGTTCCTAACAAGGCTTTGGTACCTTTGACAGCTGTATATCAGACAAAACATCAAGAGATGTTGCTTCCCCATCCCATTTTCCTGGAAGAAACAGCACCTGCTGAATGTCACAGAATCTCTCCATAGGGATGTCTCTGAGGCTGCATTGACACTTCCCAAAGTAATCCAGAAGACAGTGCAGAACAGGAGTGCCACGGGGCTGCCTGGGCCAACAGTATGTTGGTGCCGCTGCTGCTTTTTTGATGTCCAAAAGTAGCTCCCTAGCAGTGGCCTTGGTGACAACCATACTTCTGATGAGGTTACAACAGAGTGCCACCCATGTGATCAGCAGAGGAGACATCACCAACAAGGCCCTGCTGTGGAATCTGCTTTTGACCAGTGACCCAAAGGTGGATTTATTGGATATGTGGGGTTTCCACACCACAAAACAAACCAGGGTTGCTCTGGAGTTTCCTGGAAGTTCTGGAGTATATTAAGGTTCCACTTCTGCTGAATTAACAACAAGAAACATTGCTTCTGTTGTGAAACCAGCTGTATGCGGACTACTTGAAGCATTTTATTTGGCCCTTGTAGACATGCCCTGAAAGCAGCTCCTGAAGGGCATGTGAGGTGAGAGGCAATGAGCTTCTAGATGTGGGTCAAAGACTGGCGTTTGGCAAGTGGCCAAGTGAGAGAGTGCTGCTTTAGGTTGGCAGGTGCTATCACCATCTGATCTCAAGGGACCTTGAGGAGACACACAAACTTCTCAAACTGCCTCAAAATGTCCAGTCTCATGCCTTGCCAACTGGAAGGCTAAAACCTTTCGGCATTTATTGGACAGAATTCTGCTGATAACTTAAGTAAATACAGTAGGTCAGCCACTTTCAGAAGGATTAGGGGCACAGAAGGCCTGAAAAAGTTTAAAAAATGAGAAAACACCTCTCTAGAGATCTCTAGGTCAGCAGTTCTTAAACTTTGCTCTGGGGAGTCCTTGGGGCTCCCCAAGAGGTGTTCTGGGGTTTTAGGGATGCTCCACCTCCTCTGGGTTTTCTGTTATTATTATTATTATTATTATTATTATTATTATTATTATTATTATGGCTGGGTGGCCATCTGTTGGGGTGCTTTGATTGTGTTTTTCCTCCATGGAGAAAGGGGTTGGACTGGATGGCCCCAGAGAGGTCTTCCACTGAAATTACTGTTACATTAATATTGGTTAAAATTGTTCTTCAGTTTAAATATTGTATTACTTTTTTGCATTGTGTGAATTGTGGAGCCCCCAGTGGCACAGTGGGTTAAACCCCTGTGCCGGTAGGACTGAAGACCAACAGGTCGCAGGTTCGAATCCGGGGAGAGGCGGATGAGCTCCCTCTATCAGCTCCAGCTCCTCATGCGGGGACATGGGAGAAACCTCCCACAAGGATGATAAAAACATCAAATCATCCAGGCGTCCCCTGGGCAACGTC